ACATTAACACTGCAACTGTCATGCTGACGATGACAAAGTTTCAAGAAAAGATCTGAAGAACTAGAGCGTCTTACCAACAAACATTTTGACGTCATTCACACTGAAATCCGGATCAGGCATCCTGACAGAGAGAGGGAGAGAGCAGGTGTTACAGCACAGCGCCTGGTCACTGCGGTAAATGCAGCACTAGGCAGCACGCTGACAGCAGAAGGAAAGGAGATGAGCACAGACTCGCTGCTGCTGACAGGAAGAGAGAAAGAGGAAGGAGGGCCGACAGGGGAAGAAGGTGGCAGAGAGGCAGAGGAAGGGGTGGACAGGAAGCCAGATGCAGTGGGAGAGGCGAGCGAGGGCGGCAGAGACGGGATGGGGCAAGTGGGAGGGCGTACTTGATTCCCAGCCCGTCCGGCTTCTCGAAGATGATGGGATCCCGCAGCCCCTCCCTCTGGATGTACTCAAAGGTGAAGTCTGGCAGAGAGAGAGGGAAGAGAGGGGTGAGAGCACTGAGCACACTGCTGCTCTCTAGCTTGACCAGCCCTGTCGCTTTCTCCACCCGTCTGTCTTCCCGAACTGATCGCCCTGGCCCCCTGTGACACACTGCCCTGGCCCCGGGCAAGCCTATCCCCGCCGCCTGTCCGAGTGCTTCCCGAGAGCCGCGCACACTGACCTTTGCCCTCCATGTGCTTGACCAGGTTGGCATTGTATCTGTCGCTCATGAGCTTGTCTTCCAGGTCAAAGGTCCTCTTGCCTTCTATCTCGTCATCTGAAATCCCGTCGTCTTGGTAACGCCTGCGCGTGCCGGAACGCTTGGAAGAGAATTGTTAAAAACGTTGAATTACCAATTACCACATCCCGCCCATCATCGGCACCAAATCTCCATGGGCAACACTGGCACAAAACCTAGATCCGAATGAAATCACACACTCATTTGGGTTCCCACAGACGCATGCAGAAGACAGAGCGGGTATAATTTACTGGGCGGCTGGCACAAAGCGACCACTCGGAGATGCTGTAATACTCCCAGGGCTTCACCAGCTTCAGCACACAGGATGGCTCTGAATAGGCCCAGACTCCCACAGGTGACCAGACTCTCCCCGACCAGGCTGCACGGGGAGCCCCATCCTTACGGGTTTGAAGACAATCCGGACCTGTTCCGAGGAGGTGCTAGTCCACTCGGGGAGAGAAGGCATTTCCCTGCCTCTCTCCGGCTGCCTCTGTCTTGTGCTGCGAGCCGGAAGAGGGGGATGGGGAAGAGGGACGGATGACTGTTTATCTCCCCAGCGGGGTACAACAGATTAAAAAGGGATAATCCCTCCATTGCCAGCCCCTTGATCCCAACTCCAACCCCCACCCACATCCTGCTCTCTCAGTTCAGGGGTACCCCCTCCCCCCCCATCCTCCTTCTCTCTCTCAGTCCAGGGGTGCCCTGCTACCTGCAGTAGCGCTGACCCAAGCACATGGCCAAGCTGCACAAACACCTCGCTGGGACGGGGGGGGGGGGAACCCACAGGCAGCAGGAGAGTCCATCTGCTGACCCGAGTCCGTCCTCCATTCATTCCTGGTGTCACACTAGTAGTCAAGCAGAAGAGCGCAACCTACAGCACCTCCAGATTCCTTCAGAACCAGGGTGGGACAGG